CGTGGGTTAAGACCGGATTGCATTACTTTCAATTCTTTGATTGACAAGTTTTGTGAAATGAGAGAGATGGATGAGGCAGAAAGATGGGTGAAGAAAATGGTGGATAAGGGTGTTTCTCCAAATTTGGAGACACATAACTCCCTGATTGATGGCTATGGACGGATGGGCCTTTTTGAAAGGTGCTTCCAGATTCTTGAAGAAATGGAAAATCATGGGTTAAAGCCAAATCTTGTAAGCTACGGTTCTCTCATAAATTGCATGTGCAAGGATGGGAAGCTTCTCGAAGCTGAAATAGTCGTCAGGGATATGGAAGGCAGAGGGATTTTCCCTAATGCTCAAATATATAATATGCTCATTGATGGTAGCTGCATAGTGAGGAGCATTAAAGACGCTTTCAGGTTTCTTGACGAGATGGTGAAAAGTAAAATGGGTCCAACACTTGTAACTTATAATACCCTAATTAATGGCCTTTGCAAAATGGGAAGGTTAATTGAAGCTGAAGACTTGCTTCTCCAAATAACTAAAATTGGTCTTAGTCCGAACGTGATTACATATAACTCACTGATCTCAGGGTATTCTAAGACAGGAAATGCTCAGAAATGTCTTGAGCTATACGAAAATATGAAGAAGTTGGGCATTGAACCTACTCTAAAGACTTATCAACCTCTTATTATTGGATGTAGCGAACAGGGAATTGTAACTGTAGAGAAACTATTAAGTGAAATGTTAGAGACTAATTTGGCTCCTGATCTACCTGTGTATAATGCACTTATGCACTGTTATGTACTGCATCGAGATCTTCAAAAGATATTGGCATTGCATAGTGAAATGGTGGACCGAGGAATTCATCCAGACAAGGTGACTAATAATAGTTTGATTTTTGGGCTCTTAAAAGAGGGAAAAGTATCCGAAGTAAAAGATCTCTTGTCAATTACATGAAGGCCAGAGGATTAATCCCTAAAGCTGACACATACAACATACTGATTAAGGGATATTGCGAACTTAATTATTTTGTTGGAGCATACATTTGGTACAGAGAGACGCTTGAGAATGGTTTCCTCCCCAGTTTTGGTATATGCAATGAACTTATCACTGGTCTTAAACGGGATGGGAGGTTGGAAGAGGTCCAGATGATATGCTCTGAAATGAGTGCTAAAGGAATGGATGATTGGAACATTACTGAGGATAAAGCACAGTGATTACTTGGCAATTCTTGATGCTTATGCCCAACCTTGCCCCGATTTTCTCTGGTACACCATCTCTCTTGTTCTCAATCCAGAACTTGTTCTGGTTCAGACTTAGCTGGAAATTTTGGTATGAACATTCTTGCTTAATTCACAGTGAATTATTTTGTGTTTTCAAAATCATTGGAATTGTTTATATTGTTGCACATACCTGAATCAATGTGTAGTAATCAGCAATTCTTTCTTTTCTCTTTCTGTTACTGCATCAATCAGTCTATTGAGGGCAAAGTGGATCCAATCTCATGGATCTATCATGTTCAAACCTTGCTGTGTTTACCCATTTTTGATAAATTTGCAGTTTTAGTGATGTTTATTTCTTGTGATTACAAGCTAATCTAATCTCAACAGATGAAATTGTGTAAATAGCTATCATCTTGTTCGTTTGTTTAGCTTGGAACTGCTTGACTTGTTACTGGAAATGGAAATGATTAATTTATTTTATTAAGCATGTCAAAAATGAACTAGAATTATCAATTATATATTATTTTAACTTTATGATATTGTCTAATGATAGTAGTTAATTCATTGTGACAATCAACAAACACCACTTCGACCTTAACTATGATGGCCCATTGGCTTCACAAAATGGGTTTGGGCTTGAACAGATATTCATGAGCCCGGACCAACGAATCACCTATGAAACATCTATTTGACATACTCTTGGCTAGGAAGATGTGATACATAAAAGATTTCAGAAGTGATGGGAGTTGTTTCATACATATGACATAGCTTAACCTCAATATTTTCTTTCACGATGTCGATGTTGTGATTTGCACTAACAAGAAGTACGTATGATCTATGGTAGAGTCTACGCAAGAGTTTATACGAAACTTGTGAATTTGATGTTTGATCAATAGATAAATGAATAACCAAACAATAACACAAACAAAATATTTTTAAAATAGTTCGGCTGTTAAGTAGAAATCATACGTCTACTATTGTTGTATTGTTTTCTGTCTTTTTACACTCAAATACGACTTACAAAAGCATGAAAAAATAAGTCCTCTAAGTAGGGTAAAAAATTAGCTTATACACCATTACAATAACAAACTTGTAAATAAAATTACTTTAAAATAAAGAATGACACGTGGTATAAATCTATGCTCCGAGATTTACTGTACAACACTAAATATTTCCTTTCACGAAAACACAAATATTAAAATAGCGATATCCTTTACTTGAACGAGCAAGCCACTTGTGAGCATGTGTGTAACTTAAGTTGACATATAAATATTGAAACAAGAGGGAGGTCAATGTTTGGATGCCATGCCTGTCCTAAGTGGTAGCCAGATCTATTTAATAAAATAAATATATATTAATTCCATACATGTTCTCTCAATCTTATGATTCAGAATCGACTATTACCGTTAAATTTTGTCAATGGTTTTGACTTTTAAAACCCATGGATCAGGATTCAATCTCACTTGATATCATCTCTTTGAAAAATAACACACACTTTTCTGTGGAATTTAATTAACCACATATTTTTCTTGCTTTTTTCAGCTCACTTCTTATCAAATAATAATTCATCTCATATCGGGTATTTCTTAAGTTTATTATTTACATATTTTTTCACGACTATAACATGTATCATATCGCTAGGAATTTATCATTTACATGTTGGTATTACATATAAAAGCTTGTTCAATGACGAAACTTCTTATGAAGCATGCTTTTTGTTTAAAGGGATTAAAATGTTTTTGGATGAATTAAAAAAATGTCTTATGAATAGTTTTTGATTGAGAAATGGAAAATTTACGGAAAGTTTCATCGGAAAACTTAGAGCTAACTATCGAGACTATGGACTATCCTGACACATACTTTCCAAAATGGTTCATGCATGTTTTTTGCCGAGGGCAACAAGATCAAGTTGGTGAGGATTAAAATATCACTTCGTTTTTTTTTTTTCTATTTATTTATGTTCCTTTACCATTATGTATAAATAGATTATTCTATTTGTAGAGATACGGAAGAGGGGCATGTTCAATCACTTAATCTGAAAACAGTGTTTTAAAAATTATTTTCGAATCATAAATCTAACCATCTCTAAACTACCATTTCTTTTATGTTGTTGTGTGAAAGGAGCAAAATATAATTGATTTAATAATAGGCATTATCTGTCGGTTGCTGATCCTGGAAGATGCTTTCTTATTGAATTCATTCATGTTTGTCCAGAAGAGAAGGAAAATGTTAAAATAATCGGTTTGGAATTTTATCTTTTGAGGTGAGTCAGCTTAGTATCACTTTCTACCTGTAAAATGATGTCAGATTTCCAATGATTTTGTGCCATCTAATATTGAATCAAAAGATGGTCGTCGGGAGATACCCAATCAACTGGAATCCTTGCTACTTTTAGTTAATGAAATGGCCTTTCCTGTAAACATCACATCCATTTGATTTAGTATACCATTATTACCAGTTGAGAGTTTTAATTATTGGGGATGAAGATTATGGTGGGATTGTCTCACGTTTCTTTTCTTTTGCTTTTATTTTTCTTTTAATTCTCCATCACCCTCGTCAAACTGAAATAAATATGGGTAGCTGTAGCAGCCATTCAGCAACTACCCAAATGAAAATTCCGTGAATGAATGAATGAATGAGAAGCATTCATTTTTTCAAACTATTCTAACAACTTACTCCATATACACTATATTACCATTAATATATCGATAAAAATGTATTGAAAAACACTTCTCACAGCTTTCTTTCATAAACATGACGTGACAGTTTGTAATTGATCAAACATGATTCATTGTTGGGCAAACAGGATCCTATAAAAGCTGACACATCGTGTTTGTAAGAAGGTTTCTCAATGTAGTATTATTGTTCATATATATAGGCTAAAGGATATGCCAGCTGAGAGTTGATGAAAACTTTTGGACTAAAATTCAAAGGCGAGAAACGAGTAAATCTTTCCCTAATATCAAAAGATGTTTTAGGGGAAGTATTTGGAGATGGCAATGAGTCATCAACAGACAACAATAAAGAAGGAAAGACAAGGATGGTGTTGGTATGGTGTATGTAGTCAAATATAACAACAAGAATGGCCAATGGCAAAGTGAAAGTCACGGTTCCCTAATATCTTTATACATCATCATGCACTACATGCTCTTCATTCAAACTTACAACTTTGGGAACTGCATGCTTAAATAATTAAACTTTAGTCTATGGCAGCTCAACCTAAACTCTCACTTGAAATTTTCAAACTTTGAACTTCAAATTTCTCCAATCCCCTTCTCCTATTTCCCTCATTTACTCCAAGGAAAGGGTTTCCCTTCCACACTTGACACCAACCCAGCATAGCTTTCACAAGCCAACAGTTTTGACTGCAAATTTCGTCCCCCAAAACCATACTTACCATATAAAAACCTGATTGATTCCACTCCATTTAGTTTTTTATTGGGATGACCAACTTTTTTTAACTTTACATTTATAAATTTCCTTCTATCTTCTTCTTTCTTGTTGTCTGTGTCCCATAAGTTCGAGAAAAAATATATTTTAACAGTCATTTTCAGATGTGAAAGTCCTTTATTTTTTTTTTTTCAGAAAAGTAAAGTGTGGACCAGTAATTGAAAACTGTTTTTCACTTATCAAAATCTCAGAAAATTTTTGCATATCAGAACACAGTTAATGACTAATTACATTTGACTGATTATAACTCAGAAATTTCAGAATTTATGGTCTATACTGATGGAGATATAAGCAACTAGCAGAAGTACTTTCACTTGAAGACGACGAAAGAGAACATATTTATGATTTCTAAAGAGGAAAGTAGAGACAAATTTAGCTGGAAAATTACAAACTTTGTATATATAAAACACCAAACTGTAACAAGCAAGTAATAATTATCCCAATCACATAAAGAAACAAAGAGAAAAAAGAAAAAAAAGAAAAAAAAAAAAAAGAAGAATAACAATAATATGATGAAATAAAAAGTGGGGTTGTCTGTCTACCACTACCAGAAGCTGCAAGAAGAGCTGTGATGGTGGTGGTGGTGGAGGTGGTGGTAGTTGTGGTTTACAAGACGAACAAATCTTCTTCTCCGGTAGTTGAAGCTCCATCTAAGCCTTGACCAAACCAACTTGCGGATTTTACGAGCCGATCTTAACTTCAACCACATCACCCTCTTCACTCGTATAAGAGATCTTTTAATTCGCTCACTCACACTCTTCTTTCTGCAAAACTGGTAGCTTCTCAGAAACAGCTGTCTCTTCTCCATCATCACGTTGCTCTGCTCCATGTACCCAAATGAATCGCTTCTAAAGAGTGGGTTCTGAAGTTGATTTTGCAGCACCAAGGCCATGATGGCTTACAAAGAAGAGAGTGAGAAATGAAAATTTTGGTGAAAATCAAAAGGGTATGAATATATATATATAAGGAAGGAGAAAGGTACGAAGAACTTGACTGTAGAGATGGGTTTGAGTTTCATATAGCTTTGGGGTCTGGTTTTGGTTCTGGGTTGCTTATTATTGTTATATTGTATGCGAGCAGTGCGCCGCCGCAGAGGGTGAAGAGTGTCAAAACCAGAAATAAAAATTATTAAAAACCAACTGGTTTCTTCCTTTATAAACCAGCTTTTACACGTGGGTTCGGATATGTTTTAGATTAGATTAGATTAGATTAGATGGACGGTCACGTGCGTCTTGTGTTTTCTCTATTTGGGTTAATATTATTGGACTCCTATATAGTTTGAGAACTATCGTTCACCCCCCTATAAGTCTCGTTTATATTGCTTCTTTTTTGTTGACAACTTTCAATTGCATCATAAAAATTATAAAAACGATGAGGAAAAAGGATTTTATTTTTTATAGTTTATTTATAACTAATAACACATTGGTTTTTTTCTTTTATTGATTCTTTGATTATATAGATTCAATTTATTTACACTAAGGGTAAACATTTTAGCAATTTTTATTCAGTAATATTAGAGTCCAATGAACATATCTCCTTAAAGAGAGACATTGACTTATAATAGAGAANCTGAGAGTTGATGAAAACTTTTGGACCAAAATTCGAGGACGTGAAATGGGTAAATCTTTCCCTAATATCAAAAGATGTTTTAGGGGAAGTATTTGGAGATGGCAATGAGTCATCAACAGACAACAATAAAGAAGGAAAGACAAGGATGGTGTTGGTATGGTGTATGTAGTCAAATATAACAACAAGAATGGCCAATGGCAAAGTGAAAGTCACGGTTCCCTAATATCTTTATACATCATCATGCACTACATGCTCTTCATTCAAACTTACAACTTTGGGAACTGCATGCTTAAATAATTAAACTTTAGTCTATGGCAGCTCAACCTAAACTCTCACTTGAAATTTTCAAACTTTGAACTTCAAATTTCTCCAATCCCCTTCTCCTATTTCCCTCATTTACTCCAAGGAAAGGGTTTCCCTTCCACACTTGACACCAACCCAGCATAGCTTTCACAAGCCAACAGTTTTGACTGCAAATTTCATTCCCCAAAACCATACTTACCATATAAAAACCTGATTGATTCCACTCCATTTAGTTTTTTATTGGGATGACCAACTTTTTTTAACTTTACATTTATAAATTTCCTTCTATCTTCTTCTTTCTTGTTGTCTGTGTCCCATAAGTTCGAGAAAAAATATATTTTAACAGTCATTTTCAGATGTGAAAGTCCTTTATTTTTTTTTTTTCAGAAAAGTAAAGTGTGGACCAGTAATTGAAAACTGTTTTTCACTTATCAAAATCTCAGAAAATTTTTGCATATCAGAACACAGTTAATGACTAATTACATTTGACTGATTATAACTCAGAAATTTCAGAATTTATGGTCTATACTGATGGAGATATAAGCAACTAGCAGAAGTACTTTCACTTGAAGACGACGAAAGAGAACATATTTATGATTTCTAAAGAGGAAAGTAGAGACAAATTTAGCTGGAAAATTACAAACTTTGTATATATAAAACACCAAACTGTAACAAGCAAGTAATAATTATCCCAATCACATAAAGAAACAAAGAGAAAAAAGAAAAAAAAGAAAAAAAAAAAAAAGAAGAATAACAATAATATGATGAAATAAAAAGTGGGGTTGTCTGTCTACCACTACCAGAAGCTGCAAGAAGAGCTGTGATGGTGGTGGTGGTGGAGGTGGTGGTAGTTGTGGTTTACAAGACGAACAAATCTTCTTCTCCGGTAGTTGAAGCTCCATCTAAGCCTTGACCAAACCAACTTGCGGATTTTACGAGCCGATCTTAACTTCAACCACATCACCCTCTTCACTCGTATAAGAGATCTTTTAATTCGCTCACTCACACTCTTCTTTCTGCAAAACTGGTAGCTTCTCAGAAACAGCTGTCTCTTCTCCATCATCACGTTGCTCTGCTCCATGTACCCAAATGAATCGCTTCTAAAGAGTGGGTTCTGAAGTTGATTTTGCAGCACCAAGGCCATGATGGCTTACAAAGAAGAGAGTGAGAAATGAAAATTTTGGTGAAAATCAAAAGGGTATGAATATATATATATAAGGAAGGAGAAAGGTACGAAGAACTTGACTGTAGAGATGGGTTTGAGTTTCATATAGCTTTGGGGTCTGGTTTTGGTTCTGGGTTGCTTATTATTGTTATATTGTATGCGAGCAGTGCGCCGCCGCAGAGGGTGAAGAGTGTCAAAACCAGAAATAAAAATTATTAAAAACCAACTGGTTTCTTCCTTTATAAACCAGCTTTTACACGTGGGTTCGGATATGTTTTAGATTAGATTAGATTAGATTAGATGGACGGTCACGTGCGTCTTGTGTTTTCTCTATTTGGGTTAATATTATTGGACTCCTATATAGTTTGAGAACTATCGTTCATCCCCCTATAAGTCTCGTTTATATTGCTTCTTTTTGGTTGACAACTTTCAATTGCATCATAAAAATTATAAAAACGACGAGGAAAAAGGGTTTTATTTTTTATAGTTTATTTATAACTAATAACACATTGGTTTTTTTCTTTTATTGATTCTTTGATTATATAGATTCAATTTATTTACACTAAGGGTAAACATTTTAGCAATTTTTATTCAGTAATATTAGAGTCCAATGAACATATCTCCTTAAAGAGAGACATTGACTTATAATAGAGAATTTTTTAGGAAACGTCAAAGATATTTATAAGAAGAGTGATAATTTACATCCGTATGTAACCTAGATAGTTATAACAAATAGTGAATAGTTTGGATAATACACAGTTTCAAGTTCGACTCCCCCATTTGAGCAACCTTGATTTTAGTGGAGAGTGGTGACAATGGGTTACCATGCTAGTATTCCCAAAGATTAGTTAAAGTGTAACGTAAATTGGTCCTAACACATTGGTTAAAAAAAAAAAAAAAGTGATAATTCTCAAACTATGGGGATATTTATGATCAGAAAAAACATTAGATAGGTAAATGTGATTGACCATTTATATTAATTTCTTAGTCTTTTCTAACCTCCCCGAAGGCTCAGGGCCCAGAGCCAGATGGTTAGGTTGGGTCAATTCAATTGTATGCATCACTTCGGGTAGGGATAGTTTGGTTTCATTTGGGCAGTTCACATCAGCCTCTCATGTATGGGGGGATCCCACCGGTTAGGATTTTCCCGTCCTTTTCAATGTAAAAAAAGCCAAGAAGGGCAAGAGCATACAGGATTTGGTACAGAAAAGTAGAAGATAAAATTATCCCCACTACCATTGCCTAATTAAAAAAAATTACTTTGCTTATCCAATAACGTTAAAAAGAGTGAGACAAACGCATCAACAATACACATGTATACAACTCAACGCCAACTAAACTTAGCTTCAAGAAGGAAGTTTCTCCTTAATGCTGGAATCAAAGGCAGGTCCAACCACCTAAGCTGGTACAGAGTACTGTTTTTCAGGTTAGAAGAAGAGCTATACGTAATCATTTGACTATTCACTGTTTCTACATCTTCAAGTTTTGTATCTACTAACTTGTGCCTAACTTTACATATAAATGTCAGCTCTTACTTATGACCGAAAACAACATGACTGCGGTGCCTGTAATCTAGCTTCGCCTACCATCTCAAGAATACAGCAAAAGTTCAAGATGCTTGGTGCCTGTCATTTTGGTTCACTTGAAAAGGAAACCACTTCTCTGTGCTTGAAATTTAATATTACCTATAACATTTCATCAACAGTGGAAAAGCAAAATATACACATTTTAAATCCTCAAGTGTCCAAAAAAGATCCTCTTATATATCATATATTCTCCTCTTGCCATAACCCCACCACTCAGGCGACCAGCAACACCAGCAGTTGGGCAAACAAGCAGGAAATCCATGCACTTGGGTTTCTTCCTAAGTCATATAATTGACTTCATTCAATCTAGCCAGATTCAATCCAACCAGATTCTCCATCTTGTCAATATCAATTAATGGTAAATTAAACAAGTCAACAATAAAAACACAATACCCAATTTACAATCTGGTTCCCACCAGCTTCAATCCAACCAGATTCGTCCTACATATCTTATATCAATTGATGGTAAACTAAATATGTCAACAATAAAAACACATAACCCGATTTACAATCTGGATCCCACCGGCTTAAATCCAACCAGATTCATCCTTCATATCTTATATCAATTGATAGTAAACTAAATATGTCAACAATAAAAAAACATAACCCAATTTACAATCTGGATCCCACCGGCTTAAATCCAACCAGATTCATCCTTCATATCAATATCAATTAATAGTAAATTAAACATGTCAACAATAAAAAAACACATACCCAATTTACAATCTGGATCCAACAAAATGTACAAATCATCTTCTGGCTAACACTGCACACAATACTTAAGGGTACTAAACTGTTTTTCAAAAAAAATACACTTCAAAAACAAAATGAACACATCACACCACACCAAATTCCCCATCCCTATTTCCTGGAAAGAAAAAATATAGAAAGGGAAAGAAAATAAAAATAAAAATAAAAAACAAAGGAAACTATATGCATTTAGTGAGTAAATACAGACAGAAGCAAAATAATCCAAGAATACAGGAGATTACAGCCACGTCCAAATTTCAAACCAACACGAGAAAAAGTACAAATTCAAATGATTGGTCTTGAAACGTGTGACGGAAAACAATTCAGAAACTAATTTTGTGATTGAAGTAATGGTTTAGCTAGTATGACAAATTGACAATGGAAAGCCATATGTACAATGGCGATGGCAACAGTAATGGACAACAGTCGAGAAATAGGCCAAGAAGTCAATTTTTTGTTGGAGGCTTGGTATCAGTGATTACAATACTTGAAACCACATGAGAGAGACAACTGAGGGCTTTACAATCTTAGTAATTTGACAGCACTTTCGCACACAATTAGACAAACAAGACTTTTCTCCAGGCAAATATAGTATCAGACACACAACTCTTTTGTTTCCTAGTATTGACACTCTTCTTACCCATCTGAAGTGGAATCTTCATTCTTGTCACCGAGTCCCAGTTTCGTTTGCTGCAGGAACTTTTGCAGGGTAACTAGACATGTCAATATCAATAAGTGACATGTCATATGGCACAGATAACGAATTTGAGGTATCTACAAGCAACGAAGACTTCGTTATATCAGACTGTGTGTATTCATTTTTGGGAGTGCTTGCAGCAGACGATGAAAGACTTGATAGCTGAATGTCATCCAGCTTGGATCCAAACATGTGTTTGTTTCTTCTCACAGCATCCATTTCCTGGCCAGTTGGCACAAAAGTGCGTGAACGGTATTTCCTTGTTCCCTCATCACCCTCACTATGGTTGTAGAGTACATAATCATGATAAGTTGGAGCAAACTGCACAATATTAACAATCATCAGCATACCTGTGAAAGTAAAGCAACCTAAGACATGGAGAATTAAAAACTAAAAGAGCTGCCAGATATAATATTAAAGCACTAATGCACCTGGTGAACAGTGTCATGGTAGAAGTCATTCAACTTCACGGCATGTGCAAGGCTTCCCGTAAAACCACGTCCGCCACCAATATTTGCTCCAGCATACTCCTTGTATGGGAATGCAAAAAAATGACCAACAGCAGCTATAAGCATCTCAACACATACTATAAAATTTTGAAAATCAGCAGCTTCATCTGCGTTCTTTATGAATCCAGACTTTGCAGCAAGAAAAACCAGAACACCCTGACAGAAACGAGACAAATAAGTTACACAAAAATATTCTACAAATTTTAACCTTCTTTCGTAGATAAAGTCTAACTTAAGACAGAAAATGCAAATCAGCCTTTAAACACATCCAGGATTACATTATGTATCTCACTGTCTTTCATCTAAAAGAATCAACAGTTGACGTTAACAGAACGAAGAAGGGAAACAAAAAAGAGTACCTATCACTTGACTAAGACGACAAGTCCAGTAAAATGATATATTTAAAATAACAGTTGACTTTCCATAAATTTTAGTTTGAATACCCAGAAATCCCCTGATATCTCTAATCAGTTCACCAAGTTCGAAACTGGGAACAAATGAAGGACCATAGAATCTTGGTAGTTAGGAATTTATGGTACATGTCAAGTAGATGGCTCTAGGGAACGTGAAAACCATCAAACCGACTCTTGGGGTTTACAAGAGAAATCTAATAACTGATCATGGGAGTCGGGGTGGGAGTGGGAGTGGAGTACTTTTTTAAAATTGCAGTGTTTTTAGTTGTCACAGAATAGCTGTCGTATCACAAATATTGGATGTACAAACACTGCATTGGATTACATCTTCTGAAAATTTGAGAAGAAATCAAGTAGTACGGGAAAGATAAAATCATCAAAGATTTAAGGTTGTCGCAGATTTTTAACTCCAATTTAGCACTAAAGGGAAGAAATTGTATCTTTTCATTAAAGATACTAGATTCGTTATTATTCAAAAACTTTCCAAAATCTATCAGAATTTCTAGAATATTTCCAAATAATTAGTTGTTTACCAACTCTTATGAGTGATGAAACAATAGCCCCAATAATTATTGGGAGGTCTATAGGAAGTGAAACATTCAATTTGTTGTAAGAGCATTTTTGCTCTGTCCTCCAGATGAATCCCTTCCCCTGTGTCAAACCTAAATGAAAAATTGATCCCTTTTCTTCACTTCTCGGATCTCTTCAGTTCTCTCTTCCTTGAATAAAAACAATTAATGCTTTACCCCAGCTGGGAAGACCAACAGTCCCCAAATTTCATGCTGTGTGTGGGTTTAAAAACATATTGCATATACAGAAAAATGAATATTTAATATGTAATGGTAGAAAGTTTAGAATTAAATTTCACCTGCCAATAAGTCAGGAAAACAACAGATTTGATGATGATAAACTTTGGAACGGGATTAAATGGATGAAGCAAATCTCTGCATGCCATATAAAACAATGCCAAAGCATAAAGAGCAGTAGTATACGAGATTGTATAAATGATGGTAAGGTAAAGATACGCCTGGTCCGGACTAAAATTTCCATCTTTATATTTCCCTTTTGCATAAAGTATGAGAGTAACAACGACAAGGATGGGCTTTAGGATTACAAATTGTAAACAGCCTTGCTTACACCTCCGTATAAAACGCCTGCATTAGTAATACCACATGTGCAAGTTTATCATCAGTAATGTAACATTTACGTATACGATCATGTTGTAAAGATTGTATCAGGAATCTTAGCATTTTCAAAGAAGTTTACAGATGCACTGATTCTATTGTAGAATCTAAAAAGAAGCATAACTTATTCATTGTGCCAATAATAATGGTAAACTCACCCATCCAGTGGTATAGGAGGGAAGCAACACGTCATCAAACAAAATGATGGTTTTAGAACACGACCACTTAAACTTAGCACAACTGCTCCAGGGCCACCGACCCATGCAAGGCACAATGACAAGAAATTATAAATGACCCAGGCTTCATAACTGAAACAATTCAAATAACAGTATTAGCAAAGAATGGTTTCTGCAGTACAAACCATTAGAAACCATAACTTATCACTTTATTTCTTTTGATAAATAAAGCAAGTTTTATTCCTTCAAAAGTAGTTCAAAGTCCCGTGACTGGTTAATGACAATGGGAAAATCAATCAAATAAAATTACAACCTTCAATTTTTCAAAGTAAAATCTACAAAGCAAACAAGCAACTAACAGCATAAATTAACCATAAATATGATATAAGTATCAATATCATTCCCAAGTATTGCAATTTTTCGTTAGGCTTCTAACTCTAATAATGATCTTTTGCCCTAAAAAACTTTTTATGCTGCTGCTTAGTTCTAGGAGCAATTCCCCCAGCCTTTGAGGATGAAAGGTAGCATTTTATGGAAGTCTGCGGTGATGGTAATTTTTTTGGGTGATCTGGAATGAGAGAGGACTTTTTTACGATTACTTCGGGGAGTCTCCCCCTCTTCTTTGGAAAAAAAACAATTTTTTGGGTTCTTAGTGTCAGTAACCGTAGAAGTCAAAGATGAGTCATTTTTTTTTTTTCATCCTAAAAATTTGGGAAGCTGCAATGACCTGAATCTGTTTGTCTTACGGTTTACCACAGCTCTTGTTTATTTGCAATGAGAAGCTGTATTCGGAGGTTTTTGCTTCTTGTATGTAGTCATTTATCCACTCAACTTACATATATGTGATATTTAAGAATTTGTTGGCTCATTTGGACTACATCCACCTCTTGTAAAGATCAGTTTCCTAAAAGAAAATAACAAAATAACAACGTATCTAACAGAATGATGCAAAAGTCCCAGCATTAATTTCATAACATCTACGGTTCCTTCTTTGCCAACTGAAGTATAGAAATACTGCAGTGACACTATAAACTCCAGTCTCTTTCTCTTAATGAAAAGAAGCTCAATCTGAAAACTCCAGCTACTGCAAACCGTAAACAGCATGCAATAGTTGAAAAAAAAAAAAAAAAAAAAAAAAAAAAAAAAACATAGGACATCATACAGGACACAAGCATATCCTAATCTTTGCCCATTTTACGTTTGTCAGGAGAGAAGAAGCTTAATGCTGTCCAGAAGCAGAAGGGATGAAGCCAAGAAATAGAACTGAGCCCATAACAAGCTTTAGAGGCACAGAAAAGAAAAGAGATGATAGAAATTTAAAAGACTTGGAGCCTAATCTTGAAGATGTGGAGCAATAATTAACTTGAAAGCAAACTCAAAGTAACTCATTTATTGATCAAAGTAAAAAATACCTAGCAATATCAAGCAAAACCTTAAGGGATACACTTGTTACTTCCCAATACAATAAGGATCTGACGAACCTCACCAGAAAGAGCATCTATCAACTATGAACAGAATAATATCTATAGTTGAATTACCACATTTCAAATTAAATTCATATATAAACATACTTACACTTCTCGAATGGAGTTGAAATATATAGCACTATCTGGTAAAACAAGGGCCAAGAAAGACATTAATGCATAGACCTGCCAAGGAGAAAGGTTCACATAAATTAGACAATATAACGACACTGAAAATATAAACTGTATCTTCCAAACATTCTAAGACTCAACAAAGATGCAACAATTACTTCAGGGAAATGTAATGCTACAAGGAATGCAAATTTTCATGCAATAAAGTATCCCATTGTCCACTCATGAAAGTGAAAACCATTTCTTATTAAATATAGAAACAACATCTCATAAAATCCATAGAAGAACTTGATAAGAGAAACGGAAGACAAAAAGAGATACAAAATTCAAACTATATTACATTCATAACTAGACTTACAAGCACGTGTAGTGAAAACATGTACAAGAAATGATTAAAAACAGAGAAGGAAGCACTTACAGGGACCATAAAAATGATGCGAACGATGTATCTCTGGTAAGTAGGTTCAGTGTAATTCAAAAGGTGCCTGTAGATGTGGAAAACGGCCAAAGCAGTAGCTCCAACAGTGCATATAAAGGCGATGATGTGGTAGTAAATGGGAACAATATCCCCCATTTTGAAATAACTAAACGCCACAATTCAAACAACAATCAATTAGAAGATAGTAAGTAAAAAAAACAGATTACATCAGAAAAAGACGATAAGATTAGAAATACGACGTGCTAACCTCGAATTGAAGTGTTTCGATCTCAACAGAGGCTGAACATTTGATTACAAATTCGAATTTGTTTGCCCTGGCCCAAGGCTTTCTTAACCCTAGGCGAGCAATCAATTTAAGTTAAACAAGTAATTGAATAGAATTGTTTTGACAGAAAGGAAGAGAGAAACCTTAAGGAGAAGACAGATCTGCGAAAGAGAAGAACGCGTGTATAGAAAAGTATCAGAAAACCGCGCTCTACTGGATAATGGCGGCTCTCACAGTCTTCGCTGGAAAGTGGAAACCCAAATGATAATCACAAAATTCACATTCAAATCCTGATGAACATTGTACTCATTATTATATTAAATAAATAATTAAATTAAAGTAATTAATGGTCGGGTTAATTTTTTGACCTCCCTTGAACTTTGGTTTAATTTTAAAAAACTTCTATAGTTTAGGAATTATCACTAACACGCCTACAAATATCACTAATCTCCCTTAACATTTTGTTCCATCATTACTTACCCCCTTTAACATAGGGCTTGGTCAGTTGTCCAAGTAGGGCTCACTTAACTTCACAAAAAGAAGAGTGCAATGAGAGGATTGGTTTCTCATTCTTGTAGTGCTCTTACCCAAGTAATGAAAATATCATGCGTATTAATATTGGTACAATAACATCCATCCAGTAAGAAGAGATGTATAGTTAATAACACTCATATTTGGGTAGCTCAAGTGGTAAGACGAATGCTGGAATATGTAGTTAAAGAGCATAGTCTCATGTTTGAATCCCTTACTCCCAAGATTTTATCATGACAACAGGATTTTATAAGAATTAGTCGAGGTATATACAAGTTGGCCTGAACACTTTATTTAAAAAAAAAGTATAGTTAATATTAATAACATTAACATAGTTTGAGAATAATCACTAATCTTGGTATTCAAAAGGGACATTAGTGATAATTTTAAAATTATAAAAGATGTTTACAAATTAGGAAAAACTTAGGGAAAGCTACTAGATAACAAAGTGACGGTTACAGTAATACTAATTACGAAATATACACAAAAATTAAAACGGGTAAAACCCGATCCGGTTTTATTCGTTTGAAAACATGCGGAAGACCCGAGAAGAAATATCCATCTATCCAAACTGGTGTGAGTATATATATGCTGCTTCGGGGGAGGTGGAGGTGTGCAAGGCCATTCATTTTCAGAAGACTGGCCTTATCTCTCAACTTCTTCTTCTTCTTCGCCGCCTTTTTCATTTCTTTCTTTTATCTGCTAATTCTACTCACTTATTTTACTTCAAAATGTCCTCTATACTAGGAGTATCTTCTACTCCCTTCTTGGAGGTCTCCGCTAAACGAGCTAAGACCTCGTCTTTGTTTCGCTCTTTACCGTTGGCCGACAAGTCTCACTTCAATGCTTTGATAGCTTCGAACAATAAGCCTCTGGTTCTTAAGAGCAGTGGCCTCAGCTTCGACCCACTTTTCCTGCTAATTAGGGGTAGAATGGTCAAATTGCCCTTAGGGAAGAAAATATCTAAAACTTAACAAACATTTTAATCGGCCTGTCGCCGCGGCGAAGAAACTTCTGTCGCCGCGGCGAAATTGTCCAGCAGCTTCCCTGTGGCTTCAACACCTCTTCGCCGCGGCGAAGCGTGGCACACTGAACTTCTTCTATTTTCAACCAATTTCAGGGCAAGTATTCAACGCAACACTCAATCAAACAATATTACCAAAAACCAACTCAAATAAGAGCAAAGGAAGAAACAACAACTACTTACCTCAAGTGGGGCGTTACAATGGTGGAGTTTTTTTGTAGCATTTTCTTGACTATCTAATCTCCATTGAGGTTAGGTAAATAGCGTGCTTGAGCATCTCGAAAATCTGTGTTCAAAATGAGCAACAACCTTGATATCCTCATTTTCTCTACTTTTCAGCCTGTAATAGATCTTATGGGAGAATCATCAAGTATTTTGAACCATGCAAGACTGTAATGTCCATTGAGGTTAGGTAGATAGCGTGCTTGAGCATCTCGGAAATCTGTGTTCAAAATAAGTAGCAACCTTGATATCCTCGTTTTCTCTACTTTTCAGCCTGTAATAGATCTCAATTATGGGAGAATCATCAAGTATTTTGATTCATGCAAGACTGTAATGTACATGTTGCTAGGAACACTAACGTGATGTGTCTATAAATCATTATGCATGAACATATTCTTAACACTCATTTTATATGAAGCAGAAACATGAAATAGAGGAAATAAAAAGTATGGCAGAAGAATTGGTAGTCCAGTAAAATGTACATACGCAAAACTATGTTATTCGTCACTTGGAAAGGCGAATGGTTCGGTGACTATATTAGAATGAACATAGAAATTATTACCACTGATAACAGTAATGTACCGCAAGCCCACTGATCTTTACTTTCCAGTATAGAATCATCTTGGCCTAAATAGTCCGGATGGTAAGACTTAAGACAGTCCCTGCAAGCAATGGCTATGACAAGTTAATGGGATAGACAAAGTCCTCTGTGAAGACACCATTAAAATTACCATAAGACATCCATGTGCATTGTAATGACCAAACTTTCTGAAGGGCAGATTAATGTTTTAAAAGTTTCTAAGGCAATTTCTTTTTTGTCAATAAGGGAAAAGAAATTTGTATAGTCAAACGTTCAAATAAGTTATTTCAGGCTTGTCAAACTTATAATAAGAATTTTGACAACATAAAGTGTAGAACAATACATATCTTTACTTGATAATATCATCTTCAAACTAAACGCACTCAATGTTTTCAGTTTTCTGATTTATATTATTCATAAAATAAAATAAAAGATAAAAACAGAACTATATATATGATGAGACCATCCGATACATGGTATACAATAAGAAAACTAAGGGAGGCAAGTAGGGGATTTTGAGCTGTAACAAGAAGATTCCAGTGGGTGAGCTGTGAGAGTGAGGCGTTAAAAGTTGAGTGAGGTGTTAAGAATCGGTTATTGGGTAGACAGATGGCAGTAAGGCTTTCTTAATATATGACAATCAGATGCATTTCCAGTTTATTATCGCCATTTCCTGTTTTATTGTTTGAGTTACTGGTTCATTTATTTTGAATTGTTTGGACACGCGGGGATCCAACAATATATCACCATGTTTGAAACAATATAAAACAAAAGAGAATAATGTATTTCAAAATTGATAGGATAGAGCTATTTTTTGGTCAAATTAACACCATAAAACACTTTTTGTACACATATTAGATACATTACAACAAGAAGTTTTAAGGAACCATTGCTCTTAACAACAGTTAAATATGTCACAAACTGGAAAGTAAATGCAGCATATGCATATGCTAAGTAGATGGGAAATATACTAAAAAAATAAAAGAAAACGAGTGGTAAAATAATACAATAAACAAAACCAATCTCAGAATCAGCATCAGCAGCCTCATTCATCACACAGGTGACATTTTAGCACACAGTGAAAGGACAGAACTATCCCTTCATTCCTAACCAAAAAAAAAAAAAAAAACCATTCTTTCAAAGGATCAACCAAAACCTGACAATTTTTGTTCTGAAAATCTAATTAAATGCTTCTTGAATGTTTTTCAAACTAATTTGTAGCCACAAATCCTAAGAGAGCCTCCATCCTTGCTGATGAAGCAGCAATCCTCGGCTATTGCTTCTTTCTTTAATTTCTTGCTTCTTCCCATCTTTCAAAAGCTCTCAACTTTTATCCCAAAATGTAATTTCAAGACCAACCCAAGTTATTGGTTGCCAAAAACTTCTCTTGAACCCTGCAAAATCGAAGAAAAATCAATGAGAAAATCTTGCAATTTCTTGAACTTCACCATAACCAGTGCGTAAACAAAACCCCACCTCAACAAAGAAAAAAGTTAAAAGTTGTGAACTTTTAGAAACTTTGATCATTAGCTTCTTTTGATTCATAATGTAAGCTTCGTTTGAGTTAAAGAAAAACCAGAACTGCAGGCCAAAATTTTTAATTTAATGAGCATTTAATGACATTTAAATATATATTCGTTGGTGGGTTTATCAACAATATTGAAGTAAGGTAATCTATGGAAGTAATATTACCTTTTATAGAGCCTTGAAATTTGGAAAAAAAGAAAAAAAGAAAAAAGAAAAAGAGTTAGATTAGAGCATAGTTTAATCATTCAAATGGAAAGTAACGTTAATTCATACATTGATTTATTGTTTGAATGTGTTAGAGTTGGTTAACTCTATTCAATGTTAAGGTACCCATTTTAAAGTGTAGTGGAAGAGTAACCAAGTTGACTAGGAGAAGTCAAGTTAGAACACATCAACATTCAAATGTAGTAAATAAAAAACATAACCATATACATGGTTCGGCTAAAATCTACTTTTCGCCTACATCCATGGGACCTTGTCCAGATCGAAGCAATCCACTAAGTCAAAACACGTTACAAGATATAGTTCAAAGTTGATTAAAGTTACAGCAAAAAGAACTCTCTATTCTATATAAACACATAACTTAGGAAGCAATGATATCGCCCAATTCCCTTTTTTTTTTTTTTTTTTTTTNAACCAAGATCTATGAATTTCCTTGAAAAATGATTGAAGAAATTTGAGAGAACTTGGGTGGAAGGTGGCGTGAATGGATGAGAAGAAATGGCTAGGGTTTCATTCTTTAACTCTTAATATAACAAAATATTACTTGTAGTTTCCCATTTTACCCTTGCATTTTCTACGAAATTTCATCTATGTCCCTTAGTCAATTACCATAATGCCCTCATTTTTATTAACTTCTCCATGTTATTTTACTTCTTTTCACTCCCCACTTTTTCAACTAATTATGAGTGGAAATACTATTTTTCACCTAATGAAATTTTATGGAATTTTCTTCACACTTATTCAAGATAACTTTAACAAAATTCAACTAAGAGTATTAAGGCATAAGTAAAGATACATACCTCAATATGGGCGTTACATTCAGTCTGTCCTCAGATAATATGTTAGCTAAAGTTTTTGTAACATTTATCGTTTCTTAGTTAATTTGACCATTATGAAGCTCAGATAGTTAATTTGCTTCTTTTGGGAGCAAATTTGATTGGATGTCAGAATTTTCTCTAGGGTAGTAAGTACGAACTTATTACTTTCCTTTCAAAGTCCGGGTAAGCAACTTATATTGCAGTTTGATAATATCGGATCAAAGTGCTTCTTTAATATCATAATACCATGTAATAGTTTTCTTCAATAAGAAATTCTTCCAAATACATTTATTTTTACCTATAATTCCTATCTTTCTGGACCATCTAGCTCCCATGAATGTTGATTTGATTGTCTGAGATATA